TCCTTCACTCATTTCATCAGTCTCATCGTCTTCATCATCATCTCTGTCTTCTTCATCATCATCTTTCTTGTAATCACCATCATTTTTCTCATGTGGCTCATCAATTTCTTATTCCTCACCATTTTCCTCAGTAGCTTTGTCTTCATTATCTTTCTCATTCGTACCATTCCCGGCAATCTCTATTTCAGAATCATTCTCCTTAGAGACTTGCACATCTCGTGTATCAGCTGGTGGAGGAACATGTTTCGTGCCACTGGTACTGCAACGAGGGTCATTTTTATAAAGCTTCTCAAGCTCAGTTTTGATTTTGGATAAATGTATGACATCTCTCAGATTCTTCATTTCGGTCTCGAAGATTGGATCATCATATGAAGGTTTCACAATGTTAAGGGAACGGCCGTACCATTCACTTCAGAAGAGATCGTGGATGCAGCGTCGGATACAGTAGCATTCAAGTAAAATTGTGTGACATCAAAAGGGTAGAAGAAAGTATAAACATAAGTCACAAAGCTATATAAACCAATTTCCTATAGCAGACGAATGATCGATTCTCCGAACTTCTTGTTTAGAACATATTGGAGAAATCCATGAGCATCCCACATGTATCCTGTGACACCCCGTATTTTTCTAAAATAAATTATAGTCCCGATATTAAATATTTTTACTAAAATATTTATATGTACCTAATTATTTGTAAAATGGGCTCGAGTCTATCTAATATTGTGAACTAGTATTTTGTATCCAAATACTCTAAGCCCACAATGATTTTTAATTCCTAAAAGCCTAGTATTTATCTTTAAGCCCAAAATGTATGTAGTGGGTATATTTATATTCCTAATCCTAAGTATATGTGCATAAATATTTTATAGTCTATGAATTGTCTTGGACCCAAACTATCTAAACCAAGTTGAGCCCATATGGCATGTGTCATTCTTGAACTCAAAAGAATTACCCAACCTTCCTAATATGGCCCATCATCCAAGAATAGCAACCATGTCTACCTATAGACTTTGTATGTAGAAATTTCGTAGCTTTTCCCTTCCACCTTCATACGCACAAGCAGCAGCCAACGCCCTTTCTTCTTGGATCTTCCATCACCAACATCATCTTCTTCGCCACTCCACAACTCACCTAACTTCACCTTCCTTCTTTCTCCTTTTTCTTCTGGTTGACGGGTTCATGAAGTAACACACACGATTGTGGGTTCAACGGAGCTTAGCGACAGCCTAGGCGTTAGTTGGGGTCTCTTCCGGCGAATCTCGAGCTAGCATCGATGAAGTGGGTGGTGGCGGTGGTCGGACGCTACGGTTGGGCAGAGCTCCGACGAAGACTGGCGACCAGTCTCTCCACCGTCTCCTTTGTTCCGGCAAAGCGACGACGGACCTTAGATGACATCGGGCAGGGGGCGGTGATGGCAGTGTACAAAGGTGGTGGCAATGGCTAGGCGCGGCGGCGACGGAACCCGGCAATGGCGTTTCTCCTCCGTGTCCGGCAAGATAGCATCTTCGGCAAGTGTCGGCAGTGGTGCCGTTGGTCGGCTCTCCAGCAGTGGGCAGGTACACGGGTGGTGGTGTGTACGTCGTTCCACCCGCGGCTTTCATGGCAGTGAAAATCGAAGAAGATGGTGAGTTGCTTTGTTGTCTTAGTTATTTGCTTAGTGTTAGTTAGTTTGTTGTTGCTTGAGTTAGTAAATGGCGGGTTAGTTTAGATGGTAAGGCTTTGGTTGTGATTAGGAGTTGGTTAGGGTTCAATTCCTCAACTCTTAAAGCTTAAGTTTCAAGAGAAACCTAGCTTAGATTAGATGGTTAGGTTGTGGTTAATCCTAAGATAGGTTTAGGTTTAATTCCCCTTATTAGTTATTTAATGTTTTAATTAGTGAAGATACGGTTTAATCCACTGGTTCACGGTAGCATGGCTTTATGAGTTGAGCCTAAGTTTGGCGTTGTTTTTGGATGGTTAAGCAAATGAGGTAACCCATTCTATACAAAACCTATTTTCTTACTTATATGATGATTCTTGGCTTCTACTTGTGATTCTTGTGTTGATTTCTGAGATGCAAAGGAGGTAACCCCTATACAAAACCTATTTTCTTACTTATATGATGATTTGTGGCTTCTACTTGTGATTCTTGTGTTGATTTGTGAGATTTGATGCATTGTCTTGTGGTAATGCATGTTTAGAGCTTGTTCTTAGGGTTCTTGAATGCCATTGCTTGACTATTTCTTGGGTTCAAGTCATATTGTTGTTGTGTCTGAGATTTTGGGTGTTTTGGACTTGAATTTGGACTTCTTGTTGAAAATCCCCGAAGGGATAATTTGGAGTTTAGGTGGTACCCGCGTGCAGAACGGCGGGCAAGGCCCTAGCCGCCGCCCCACCCGCGGGGTACATGGTTCGTGGGTGTATGTACCCGCGGGGAAAGTTGTTGGTTGTTGGCGGGGATTTATTCCCCGTGATTCTTTTGTCTCGGTATTAATGTTTTGACCTCCCGATGTTGTTTGATTGGGCTATTTTTGAGTCTTCTTGATGTTTCGTATGTCTAGAACGGTATGTTAGGAATCCATGTAGGATTTGGTGTCTTGAATCGTGCTAAGGGTCGGACATTGTGATTTCTTGGGCTAATGTGAGTCTTGAATGTTCTTTTGAACTACTTTTGGTTTACCCGTTTGTTAAGCATGCTAGTTTGATGTTGAAATGCTAGTATGTGTGGTTTGTTCCTTCCTATTGGGATTGGCAACTTGTGTTGACATTTGGTGTTGGATTGTGATCCCTTGTTGTTGAGTATGGTCACATGTCTTTGTTGTGATCCCTTGATTGATTCCTATGATATGAACGTATGTAAATCGTTGTACCCATTGATTGATACTTGATTGAGGTTATTGTTGAGCCTTGGTCTTGTTGGTAATGATGATGATCTTGTGTGACTATGATTGAAATTGGTGGTGTGTTATCTGAGCTTGGCTCACATGTTGGAGTCTATGTGAATGAAATTAATGGTACCCTCGTGTACTGAGAGTTCGGCGGGATGTTGGAGGTTGTTGGAGGGGGGACGATGGTCCCTGGCGGTACAAGGTTGGACTCATAAGTACAGGGTGGCACTAAGAGGTAATGGTTGAAACTGAAATAAGGTCGAGGGTAGCCATAAGGTTGGAACATGGCATAAGGTTGGAACTATGAAACTTGTGACATGTAGTTGTCACTGTGGCATGTAGTTGCCACTATGTGAAAGTGAATTCTTTCCTTATGAGCATGTCTTGACGTATTCTACTTTGTGATCAGTAAAATGCATCATGAGTTGTATTGTCTATGATGTCTGTTGTCTTGTTGTTGTTGTGAGGATGGTGATTCCTATTCCTTTTGAGAGTGTTTGATGAGTCTTTGAAGTTGACTCATCTCCTTGGTTTTGAAATGATATATACTGCATTCCGTTTCAAAATGGATTTGTTTATACTTATCTATATATGTTATTTAATGCGTATTGATGGGTTACCAGCAATTCGCTGACCGGGTGTTATCCCCATGTTTATTCCCTTGTTCTACAGATTTTGAGTAGATGTCTGAGAGCGCTAGACGTGGATCGCTAGATAGATGAGCTATCCTGTGTAGACGTTATCTTTTGTTGGCCTGTGAGCCTAGTATAGCGGCCTGTGTGCCTAGATACTTTACGTTTTGTTGAATTGTTAGTTTACCCGCCTGTGCACCTATGTTTGAGATAGGTGTGGCATAACACTTGCCGATTTTATATAGCTTCCGCTTGCTTTATGTCTTGATGATTACATGTTTTCCTTTGCAATTAAGTTTTAAAAATGTAGTAAAAATCGGGGGTGTTACATATCCACATGCTATGAAGTGTTCCCTGGATTTGATGAAGGATTCATATGAGGTTGGAAATGTTGGAAGCTTCTCGGCAGAAGTGGTTTGAACATCTTTGGGTGCTTTGGATTTAGACTTCTTCGCCATTGATAGTGAGAGGTTTGTTGGGATGTTTTGAAGAGGTGTAAGAGGTTTTTGGAAGGGTTTGAGAGTGTTTGAGAGATTGTAGGCTAATCACGGTAGGAGAGAAAGGTTATGAGAATGTGTTTGTATGGTTAAATATTCAATGTAACCGAATTCTTCAGGTCCGGTTGATGGGTAACCCGAAATTTTAATTTGAAAGGCTATGGGTAAGCTCAAATAGGGTTTTGGTTCACATCTGACAAGTTGCGTATATAAGGCAATATATCTGTGGTATCTGTGGGATTCATCTGATAAGGGAGATATTAGATAAAAAATTGCCATTCCACATTTAATGCGGAGAGAGAAACCCACTCGAGTATGGGACATGGGCAATAAATGCATGTCCTTTCCGCTGACATTATCAGGCATGATCATGGATTAGTGGACCGAATTTCTCGCCCACACGATGCTATTCATGAACTGCATCGGACGGTTGGGATAGATGCTCTCTAATTAACATCGTTTCGTCTTCTTGCATAGATGACTTAATGAGGAAGAAATGATGTACACATCTCCACGATTCAAATAAATTTTCATGAAGATATATGCTGCTCTTTCGGGTGTTCGTGTTTCGAAAGGATCTTCATTCTTAGATACGAAACATGTAGATGATTGATTAAACAAACTCAATCATCTAATACATTCTAGAACATAACGAAAGATTCCATTTCCGTTACTTCTTTGCTCTGGCCTTCTGAAGCTCAAGAGTTCTATTCTTAATGTAGTCCTTTCGGAAGAGTTCGAAGGCGAGAAGATCAGTCAACACAGAGTCATATTCAGCATTAGATGTTTCGTCTTCGTTGTTTTCACAATTGGTGCAAGGAAGATCTCGAAGCCACAACACATACTCTCTGGTGTGCAGGGGATTGTTGATGAATCTTTCAAAAGGATTGGCTTCAGATCCATCTTGTGGAGGGGGTGCCTTGTTCTGGGTTGGTGGTGGTGAGATCTCATTTGTGGTAACGAGACTTGGACGCTTTTCCGAACTTTTAAAAATATAGAACTCTAATAATATAAGTGCAAAATATATTATATTAAAAAACACAAGCTCAATAACAATAACAAAAATGTAGGCATTGTAAAGTGTTACATTGTAAGAAACGGTATCAAATGTATTAATACACACAATCTAATTGTCATTTGAATTGCAGTTGGAGGTCGGGGAATAGAAGTGGGTAGCAATGTAGAATGCTGTTGCAGCACAACTTGTCCAACAACTATGAACTCCAGTATTGTCTCTTTAACATCACTTAGTCCATAATGGTCTTCAAGTATTCTTTGTGCTCTTAACACATAAAGTTCTCATCGCTGCATTTATGTTACAATGATATTAATAAAAAAAATTGGTGCAGCATAATCAAAATTCACAAAATTCATTTATACCTATTTCACTAATCAGTTAAAAATGTTTCCTATTTTATATAGTTGAAATAATTTTTTGAAATAAGAAGAAATCTTGTAAATAATTGTTTTATATTCATTCCCAGTCATAACTAATTTTAGATTAAAATATTATTCTAACATAAAATTAAAAGAAAAAAAAAAGAGAAGAAAAATGCAAGAATGAACCATGAGAGACAACAATAAGCAAAGCTTTTAGATGAGAAAAGATACTGTTTAGTTCAAGAAAGAATTGAAATACCTGAATGACATAGTTCCCATATTGATCTTGCACTAGAGTGCACACAGATTGCAGGATCTCATCTATGATAATCTTTTGCATTTCAGGGTCATCGCAGTGCTCAAGGACTCTCTGCAAAAGTAAACGAAGTAGATCAGAATATGAGGCAATGGATGTCAGGGTAATAAGAAAGAAAAAGCCTGTCCAAACCTGAATGACACAGCACCCATATGGATGCGTGGATAAAGCTTGAGGGACGCACTCTATGCACTTCTGGATCACGTGGTTCCCATTCTGATCACGAACACACTTCATAACAGAACCATCAAGTTCTGAAACCATCTGTGTCTGCTGCATAACATCAACAACCTCCAGTGCTTGTGATTTTGATATGGCATTGCATGTATGGTCTCAAAGAGAAGAGAAGAAGACCACAATATTAAAGAATCAAGTTCAATGAACTATTTACTATACTTTTCCTCTTACTATACTTTTCCTCTTACAAAAATTTCTTACAAGAAAAGAAAAAGGTTGGAAACAACCTCACTAAAAGGATTACATACCTTGTATGGTGCCAGAACTGAGTCAAACCTTACTTCCTACAATTAAAATAGATAAAGGAAGGAAAAAGAACAATAAATCCCTACATAACTCAAAAGAAAAATTTTTAAGCTAAATAAAGTTGTTTGTATGTTTTATAAGAAACAAATAGCTTTACTACATTTCTAGTTCTGAAAAGAAAAATTAAGCTCATTGGAGCTAATTATATCTAGAGAGTCCTAAAGCTTCAATTAAAGAATGAAAAATAGCTACTATTGCCCTTTCAGTTCTGAAAAGTAAAAATTTAAAGCTAAATAAAGCTACAAATTTTAAGTTATTGATAGTGATTTGTATAATCAATCCTACATATGAAAAACAATCAAATGGAAGATAATACTCCTAAAATAACATTGAGCTAAATCAATCATAAATAACATGAAATAGAATAACAAAAAACAAAAAGCATAACAAGAATTTGAAATCCAACTCCAGCATAACAAGTAGAAAAATGAAACCCAATTGAAAGACTGTGCACAAACTAATAAATAAACAATACCATAAGAAATAAACAGATTAATCAACAATATCCAAATGACCAAATACCCAGGCAGTGATTTCAAGTATCCAAGCAAAGAAGATGCCAAAAATGGGGTAAATGTAAGTGAAGGAAGCAGATAGTATATTGCGTGAAGGAAACCACCTCAGTTTTGTGTTTTATAAAATTTGGAATTTAGGAATTAGGGTTTAAGATTTGGAGAATAGAAACTAACCAGAACGTACGAAGTAACGGTACCGAGTAAGCAGTCAGCGACTACTAAGGAGATGAAGCAACAGAAGATGGAGTAGTCGAGGAAGACCCACGCGTTGTCAGGACCCAGGCTACAACGGTTCTGTCGAGGATGAAAAACGACCGCAGGTGGCGATGGTTATGGCGGAGGAGGGAACTCCGATGGGCGGCAATAGGCGATGGCTATAGCATGGGAGGGAAGCCGATGGACGATACTCGGCGAAGAGAGACTACGATGGAGATGGAGGCGATGAATAGAGATATGTAGAATGATTGATCTTCAGATTAAATTTAGGGTTAAAGTCATTATATAACGACGGATCAATACATCTGTCGTTAAAATGTAAAAAGAAAACAAATACTCTGTATTTGACTTGTATATTTAGCGACAGATTCAATAATCCGTTGCTAAAATGTAAAAAACCTCAGCTTTTATATTTAGCGACGGATTATTACATCCGTCGCTAAGATAAAAAAAATCTCGTCTTTTAACATTTATATTTAGCGAGGGATTTGTCAATCCATTGCTATATAGCGATGCAATCAATAATTCGTCGCTAAATTTAGCTACAGATTCATAAATCCGTCGCTAGATTATAGTAATTAAAATTATTAAAATTTTTAGAGTCAACTCGCAAAAAATCGTCGTAAATCCGTCATTTTTTTTTGCGCCAAAATTTACCGCAAAAATTAGCTACGTATTTAACGACGGAAATATTCCGTCGCAATATTCATCGTTAATCCATTGCTAATCCGTCGCTAAATGTCAAGTTAACAATAAAATTAAACATCCGTCGCTAAATTGTCGCTATTCCATAACTAATTTAGCAACGGAAATTATCCGTCGCTAAATCCGTCGCTATATAAGCATTTTTTTGTAGTGCTAGCATCACGCTTTTCTGATTCTTCACTCATCTTCTCTTCACCTTTCCTTTGACTCATACCTGCAAACAAAGATTCCAAAAAAAAACACACTTGAATTGAATGAGGAGTTAGTGTGAGCCTTTTAGATGGCAAAGGTTGTCCTTTTATAGCGAGAAAAAGTGTTATCTTGCGTGCAAATCTGTCCAATATATCTTTCCTCTGATTCCCTCAAGATTTTCTTTTTGGAATCTTTTCAGGAATCTTTCAGATGAATTCTTCTCAGCACGCATGCTTGTTAAATCATTTCAAGCATACCAATTTCATGTCGAAGTGTAGCAAACCTACTCTCACAAAGTGGTTTAGTGAGAATATAATGTCTGCTAGCTGATCATCTGTATTGACATATTCGAGTGATATGTCCTTCTTTTCAACATGATCTCGAGTAAAGTGATATTTGATATCAATATGTTTCGTTCGAGAATGTAAGACAGGATTATGGGTGATAGCAATGGCACTTGTGTTGTCACATTTTATACAAACTTCTCGTGCTACCACACCGTAATCTTTCAATTGATGTGTCATCCATAATATTTGAGCACAACAGCTTCCGGCTGCAATATACTCGGCTTCAGCTATGCTTATTGCTTTTGAATTTTGTTTCTTGCTGAACCATGACACGAGTCTTCCCCCTAAGAACTGGCAGGTTCCTGAGGTACTCTTACGGTCAATTCGACAACCAACAAAATCAGCATCAGAGTACCCAACTAGATCAAAAGATCCTACTTTCGTGTACCAAAGTACAACGCCCTTTGAGTTCCCTTGAGGTATCTTAGGATCTCTTTGGCAGCACTCAGATGGCTTTCATTAGGTTTAGATTGAAATCTTCCACATACCCCAACAGCGAAAGAAATATCAGGTATATTCGTTGTTAGGTAAAGGAGGGATCCGATTATCCCTCGATATTTAGTTTGATCCACATCTTTTCCTTCATTGTTAATTTCCATTCGTAAAGATGTGCTCATGGGAATTTTCACAGATGTCTTTCCATCTATGCCTAACTTTCGGATTAAATCTTTCGTATACTTGGCCTGATTGATGAATATTCCATCAGGACATTGTTTGACTTGTAAACCAAGAAAGTAATTCAGTTCTCCCATCATGCTCATTTCAAATTTTCCTTGCATGAGATTGGAGAACTTTTCACACAGATCAGGATTTGTGCAACCAAATATGATATCATCAATGTATATTTGCACAAGCAAAATATGATCATTATTTTTTATACGAAAGAGTGTTTTGTCAACAACTCCTTTCGTGAATCCACAATTGATAAGAAAGTATGACAATGTATCGTACCAAGCTCGTGGAGCCTGTTTTAGCCCGTATAGAGCTTTCTTAAGGTGATAGACTTTGTCATTTCCACAGTCTATAGTGAAACTTGGTGGTTGTTTCACATAGACTTCTTCCTCAAGAAGGCCATTTCAGAATTCACTTTTTACGTCCATTTGATATACCTTGAAATCTTTATACGTTGCATAGGCTAAGAACATTCGTATAGCTTCAAGTCTAGCAACTGGAGCAAAGGTTTCATCAAAATCAATACCTTCTTCTTGATAATAGCTTTTTGCTACAAGACGAGCTTTGTTCCTAACAATTAGACCATCCTCACTCATTTTATTCCTGAAAACCCATTTTGTTCCAATAACGTTCTGATGAGTAGCTCTAGGAACAAGTTCCCAAACATTATTTCGTTCAAATTGGTGAAGCTCTTCTTGCATAGATATGACCCAGTCTGGATCATTCATAGCATCATCAATCATTTTTAGCTCTATTTGAGATAGAAAACATGCCATCATGCTTTCGTGTATTGAAGCACGAGTCCTTACTCCTTCTTGAATATTGCCAGTTACTTGATCTGGCGGGTGATCTCTTAACCACCGTAGATCCGGTTCGAAAGATGTAGTTTGATCTGGGGTGTACATCTCGGGTATGTATGGCAATTCAACATATATCATGGGTTCAGTTTGTGGTTGTGAGGTAGATAAGCCTTCTTCATTTGTGTTTTCTGTCTCAACCTGTACTTCATGTTCGTCGGATTTATCTCCTCGATATTTAAGGTAATCATCTTCATGATACGAGTCTTCTTCATCTATTTGACTTGGTTCAGCTTGCATGCTTAGATTTTTTATAGATGTGTCTTTTTGTGCAGCCTTTTGAACATTTTCGTCAAACTTTACATGAATAGATTTTTCGATAACCATGGTCCTTTTATTCAGAATCCTGAATGCTTTACTAGTTGAAGAATATCCCATGAATATTCCTTCACCCGCTCTTTCATCAAATGCTCTCAAATGATTCTTTCCATTGTTGTGAATAAATCACCTACATCCAAAGATGTGAAAATAACTGACAACAGGTTTCTTACCTTTCCATAATTCATATGGGGTTTTGTTATGAGCTTTGTTGATGAGGGATCGATATTGAGTGTAGCATGCGGTATTAATGGCTTCGGCCCAGAAATGCTTGGGAAGTCCTGAATGGGCTATCATTGTTCGGGCGGCTTCCTTCAAGGTTCTATTTCTTCTTTCGGCTACTCCATTCTACTGTGGAGTTCGTGCGGCCGAAAGTTAATGGAAGATTCCATTTTGTCCACAGAATTCTTTGATGACTTTGTTAACAAATTTTGTCCCTTGATCTGATCTGATCCTTATTATGCTGAGACCCTTTTCGGTTTGTAATTGCCTTAGCAAGTCTGGTAAGACTTTCTCAGTCTCATTCTTCTTTCTTAAAAAAGTGCGTCCAGGTATATCTTGAGTGGTCGTCTATAACGACGAGAGAATATTTTCATCCACTCAGACTTGCAGGATCAACTGGACCAAATAGATCCATGTGTAGTAAACTTAAAGGACGAGAATTGGTT